CCTTTTTGTCTACTACCCATATTGGGTTATTGTAGGGCGATCGCGACTTCTGGATTATGCCGTTTTTTAGTTGGTCTTGAATTTCGCCATTAACGAATTCTGCCGCTCCCATCGGGTACGGATAGGGTCTGGCATAAATGGGCTCCTCATCAACTGTCCTGATGGTGGCTACCACTGACGTGTTGTAAGGTAACGCCTCATTTAGGTTCGCGAAGGCATTTTTCCTGTCGCTTAGCATTTTTGAAAATGTTTTTCTGACTAAAGGTGGTGCGCTGGAGCAGTCCAACTCAGTGAAATTTACATTGGGGCATTATTGTAATCTAGCTTTTCTACCTCGGAGCCCCATTTGAGGTGGCCGGAAGCTAAATCAAATGATGCTCCTGCCTGTTTTAATAGATCAGGCCGATAATGGCACCAAAGGAGGACAAATCTGGTAAGATTAAGAACGTAGCCTTCAAGTTAAACAGGGATATGAAGCATTTTTTTGTAATCGTGGTAACGCCATGGATAGAATGTACCGAAAATGCCGAATCTACTGGGCGGACGCCTCTGAACCCTTCGTATGGACGGATGCAATTTTTTGACGCGCTCGTGTCTATTTAAAGCTTCATTTCTACACCTGCTACTCTTTGTCTGATGACGGGTAGCAGGGACTTTCCCCTACAAAATTAATGACGTCTGAATCGTAATCCTTAAAGGCATCGTCGTCAATTTCTTGAGCCGCGCTTGAAGCTGCGGCAGTATATTTCACCCCGGTTTCGCCTGCGCCCTGCGCGACGAGGTTAACCTTCTGCCTTTTGTATGGGGCATATCGATCGGACTCAGCCGGCTTCCTGTTTTGGTATGCCGGGGCTTGGGATGGTTTAAGCATCTTGGACAGCGATGGGTCAATGTCCATGGGTTCAGGGGTGCCTCCACTGTGTGGGGCAGCATGTACCTGCGCCTTGTGTTGCTTGGCGTAGTACGGATTTTTGCCAGCGTTTGAATGTGCATTTGCCTGCGAAGAAGCCTGTCGGTATTCTTGCGCCTTTGGATGTTGTTTTTTGTCCTTGTCCTCCTGTCTTTTGGCAAATGAAGCCGCGAAAGAGTACGATTCGTGGTTAGATTCCACTTCTTGCGCCAAAGCGAGAGCTGAAGGAATATCTTTCGGCTTTGCCGAAAAAGGACATCCGTGAGGCTGCGCTTGAGTCCCGAGAAAAAAACTCGGTGTGCGTCATCCCGGAATTTGTCACAAAAAACTTTTGCCGCAGAGGCTTCGTACGACATGGTGGCCTTATTGGTAAGCAAGGTGAGTTTTTTCTCGACCTCGTCATAGTATTGTAGGAGGGTCATATTTCCCTGAGTACCTGCTCGATAAAGTGAATCTGACGCTTATCACTATACTGTAGTCGAGTCGTACATCGAGTCGAGACATACGCGTCTTGTGCTCTCGTAAATTCGGGCAGGCAATTGACGGCATCTAGGGGCTCGTCACATTTGACGTCGTCCCTAATTTATATAGGTTCATATGCTTTGATTTGGGGAGCTTCCGCTTGGGCGGGAGCGATTTCTTTTGCTTCGACCCGTTTGGTCAGCCGGTGTATAGCCAGGCGCAGTTCGTTTTCCCTACGCTGGTTTTCAATATTGGCTTTTTGAACAGCATGTTGAACGGCCGCCTGTATAGTGGCTGTCATTTGTTCCATGCTGAAAGCCGTGTTCGCGAGTTTGAGAGCGCTAGCGCTAGCGCTTTTTGGGATGTTGAGCTGTAGCTATAAAATCGGGCAAAAAAAAAAAATAAATTCATGCATGAATTATATGCCGACAGAGGCGATTGGGCTGGTAAGGGGGCCGCGGGAGCTGAGCTGAAGCGGGAGCTGAGCTGTATTTCCGAAAACGGAGTGGGGATACGAAACGGAAAAGAAAAATAAATTACCAAAACTGCGCGGCTAATACCAAGAATTCTTGTGTATCAAAAGAGACATATAAAAGCTGAATTAAATACACACAATTATATGAATTAATTTGGTTCGAAAATTAAATTTTTTGCCAGCGATTCTTTCGTCTTGGCTAAGAATTTTCATTCCGCACTTTTTGTGTTATATAGTAATACTTATTTATTTATTCACACAAAAAAGAAATGCAAACAATATTGGGAAGTAAATATCCCAAAAATGGATTATAAAAATTTTATAAAAATAAAATGAGTTAACGCTAAACCGTCAACCAATTTATGTAAATTAATTAAATTGAAAAAGGTAATGGGTCTGCAGTTTTTTAGCTGTCAGTGTAAGGAACAATATTTCACTATTCTTGTCTTTTCTTTTTTATACAAAAAATTTATTTAGACATAGAGGGTATTTAGATTAAAGGGCTCACTCACATGATTTTTTCGTTCGGCGCCAGTAATTAAAGTATGGGTGTAGTAGAGGTGTGATAGAGTATTTGGGAATACCTCACTGATGGCGGTGTCGTCCCAGGAGAAGATGAGCCCTGGCGCTTGCCAAGGGGTTGTCGTCATTGCAGGTGATGATAAGATTATGGGCCCTGGCGGTTGACGAGGGGTTTCTTCCTTCTTAGCAGGAAGTTAGGGTGGGAGTTACTAACTCCGTTGTTACTGCTCTTGAGGTACAGCAACCAATGTTTAATAAGTGAATTGACTTTGACGGCTGTGCCGGAGTATTGATTTTAAGTGCTCTTTATTGTTTGAGGCTCTGATACAAACTGAAACTTAAAGCTAACAAAACTTATTTCATAGCGGCCACGCAAATATGCAGTGCTCGCCGCTACGTATGGGCATCCGGCCAGACGCTGTGTCAGCAGTTTGGCCAGAGCGAGCTCTTAAATAATCGGACATTGCCGCTGCGCCGTTAACTTCAGTTAACTTATATTCTAAAATCATTATAACCATTAATATATTTTGTGTTATAACTATTAATACATATTTACATATAATAATTTTTATTGAGATAGATCTCAAAGTCTTAAAAAAATGTTCTGTTTTCTAAGACCAAACTTGGACTCCAAATTAAAAGTATGACTGTCCCAGTCACTTACGGTATTGGGACAAAGATCAGTGATTTCAAACTTTTGAAGAGACCTAGTAGGAATTGTTCATTAGGTCGAGTATAGTATAAAACCATTTTTTAAATTTTTCATACACCCTCAAATCTTGATTTATTTCGAAAAAACGGTTTTTCAAAAGTGTTTTGCTCTTAAAAATTCCTGAACACGTAATTTTAGGCCGATTTTCAATTTTTTTACGTTTTTCAATAGTAAAATGTTGTAGCTTTTGAAAAAAAAATACATCTTTAATTTATTTAAACAGAAAGGATACAAATTTTACAAAAGAAACTGACATTTTTGAATTTTTGTCATGTTTTTCAAACTTTGACGTCATTTTTTCGGTACAATTTCCAAGAAATGGTATCATTTTTGACACACATCAATATTGTCCTGTTAATTTTAAATAAAACGAGACCAATTTCATTTCGAAATTATGAAAATTGTTGAAGTTATAACGCTTTTCCTAAAACAAGTTAACTAGCGCTCCGGAGTAAAAGTGTGTGAAAGAAAGGAATGGGCGGAATGGAATGGCACACTATTGCTCCGGAAAGCTATGAAGATTGGACTGACTTGTTGGACTGACCACAGCTGTAAAGGTATGAATACTCAGCAAAAAATGTATGTTGCATAATTCTGCACTTGGGCAAAACCACAACTTCAACCCCCCTTCGGACATACAACCGGCCATAATAAAAAGTCTTTACCTTCTCTACAAACTATCTAGATTAATTTTTTTTAATGTCATGGCTACCTAAGACCTTGGTCTCTAAGGCTACTAGCCATTTAAAAGATAGCCATTTAGAAAAGAGAGATTAAAAAATCCAATTAAATTGACAAAAATATTAAATAAATCAATAATAAATATAATAATAATATTATTTTTAGCGTTTCCCTAAAACCATGGTACAATTTACAGATTTCAATAAAGAAAAGAAAGCTAACTTCGGGCGGAGCCGAAGTTGATATACCCTTGCAGATAAAAGCGTATATATGGTATATCGTAAAAATCGGATATAGTTGGCCAATCCCTATGAGAATTTCATATTATATAACCATATAATTTCATATTATATAATTCATATATTAACCAATTAATTACAATAAAAAAACTAAAAAAAAAGCCCCAAGCTTCTATCTTTAAAAATACCAAAGTTGTTATTTTTAGTAAACACCAAATACCCTTTCTGACCGTTCAGTTATATGGCAGGTATAAGATGTTGTCGGCCGATCGTTATGATATTTGGTAGGTTGGTAGGTACCCCTGCTTTATAGGGTCGGAGATGTCTCCTTCACTGCGTTGCATACTTTTGGACAAAATTATAATACCCTCAAGGGTATAAAAAAATAATTCTCCATAGGATATTGTTTGGGAAAAATCATAGAAGCACAAAAATAAAGGTATAAAATCGGTTAATTCATCTTTGGATGCGTAATCCAAAGATGTGGTAACTGCTAGATGTCATTTTTAAATTTGAGATGGTATACATACATTTCAAAAATGATTTATACTAAAAACGATGATGGTCAATTACACGGCCTACATAATTCAATTTATAATAATATTTGTTCAATTTATTTTCTTTGGTGCACCGCGGTGGTCCATCGCAAACTGTTGGTGATGGAACCTGTGTTTTTTTGGATTTTGGTTCAGGGAGTCCTAAAGGTTATGGAGGAGTAAAATTTATGCGTGGAGAAAAAAATTCGAAATTGTCGGCCTGTGTTATTAAATAAGAGAGTTCAATTCTGCCACTGGGGGTCATATTCATTATGTTGCAAAATGCAGTTTGCGTCTATAACTTATTATATCAATTATCATATTATACTTAATGTACAATTTTTCACTATCTCTGGAGGAACTTTCCCCATTCTTAACAAACACTAAAATCATAAAAATTAATACATACATACATGTTGAAGATTAATATTCATTTACATACGCCATAAAAAATTTATTTTAGAAATGGTCGCCCTGGTTCAGAATCTGTTTCAGAGAAGTTCAAAATAGACTGGGGAACCTATATGTCATCAAGAAACGATATTATATATGTACGTTTAGATGTTAGAGGTGCCAAAGGACACAGCAAGAAATCGTTATACCGCCATTTAGGCGGGGCAGAAGTTGTTGATCAAATATCTGTATTAAGGTAAGAAATTAGATATAAACTTAAATACGACAATTTTGAATTAATTTTAGAATTTTTTCTATTTTAAGGTATTTGCTCGATACTATTGGTTTTTTAGATGAAACCCGAGTAGGAATATGGGGTTGGGGATATGGAGGTTATGTTACATCAATGGTTCTCGGTACACAGCAGGATGTTTTTAAATGTGGCATCGCTATTTCTCCAATTGCAGATTGGCTTTATTTTAGTAAGGCTAAAAAATTTAAAAATAATAAAAATTTAATCATTTTTTATCAGATTCTGCATTTACTGAGCGTATATTGGGATTACCTTCTGAAAATTACAAAGGATATGTGGAAGCAGATGCAACTCAGCGGGCGCGCCTTATAAAGTCGAACTCATTTTTCTTAATTCATGGATTAGCCGATTCTTCCGCTCCCTATGTTCACGGAGTTAAATTAGCTAAGTCATTGACTGACGCCAATATATTATATCGTTATCAGGTATAATAGCTTAGTTAATTACAAAATATTATTTTAATTTAAACCAACTGACTTCTTTTTAGGCCTATGCAGATGAGAGCCATGACTTATCAGGCGTGCTTGAACATGTATATTCTTCAATGGAGCATTATTTTGCGGAATGTTTAAGCTTGGATCCTGATGACACTAAGCCAGATTTAGATCAAAGCATTGTACCAGCTGAATAGCGTATTTATTTCTTAGTGGGCATCGAAAAAGCTTGAAAAATCAGACTAATTTTATAAATGAAGTGTCTGGAAAATTTGACCTTCAAGTCCATAAATTAATGATAAAATATTTAATTTGAACGCTAGTGAACTTTCAGATATAAGCCAAAAGAATGATAAAAAATCTATAATTAAGTTTTGTTATTTAATAGCGTTTTGAAAGCTTATAAAACTAAAAAAAAATGGAAGTATAGTCAAGATTTTTAACTATATGATACCCGGTGTTCTTTTTTCACATTTTTTTGACTCTCACACCTGACTTACAGACAGGCTCCAGGTGTTTACTTTTTAAAGTGAATTAATTGTTCAATTCATATTCCATTATTTTTGAAAACGATAGCTTCTAATTTAATGAGCCTTAATTTTGGATCTTAAAAATGTAGCTTAACAATAAGCTTTACGTTTTCGGGATCTGTGTATCAGGTTTAGAGATTTATGGATTACCATGATGACATAAAATGAAACTGGATTAAATTCACATTTTGGGTTGTCAGAATTCACTACACAAAAGTATGTACCGGAGATTGCCTGTTAATCATAAAACAAGAAAGAAAACTAACTTCGGGCGGAGCCCATGTTGATATACCCATGCAGTTACGTGGCAGCTATAAGATATAGTCGGCCGACCCCGGCCGTTCTGACTAATATACTGCGTGCAAAGAAGAGTAGGGAGTGTGCAAAGTTTCATAGTTGGCGTAGAAAAAGACAGACGGACAGTCAGAAAAACAGATGGACATGCCTTTATTAACTCCGGAGGTGATCCTGGTCATACTTATACTTTATACTTCATAGGGTCGGAGATGTCTCTTTCACTGCGTTGCACACTGAAATTAGCGAAGTAAAAACTTGCAGAGGCAGGGGTATACAAAAAAAAAAATATTAAAGTAAAATATTAAAAAAAAAATAATAATCTCAATTACTCTTTTAAAAATCTTTAAACTTCGCTTTTTTTTTACTATTCCAACTTATCTTTGAAATTTACAATCATTGGGTATTATAACTTTTTAAATATACTTTCTAACCTAGTGTTACAGAAAGATGTCATTTGTTACTGCGGAGAAGGTGTTTTTGAAAATTTGAAACAGGTGGTTTGTCTGTCCAAACATGTTTGTATTGACATAGACTAAGTATAGACTAGGTCTATGTATGTATCAACAGAGAATATGTCTCGACTAGGGGGTTGAAGATCGGGTTCATTGGGGCGAACCCAAGAAACTGTTGCACTTAACAAGTACCGGGTATTAATTTATGAAACAATTTAAATTTTTAATAAATTAGGAATCAAAAAGTATTTTTAGGAAGTCTTCCGTTTTTTTTAAGTTTTTTTAAAATTATTACATGTGTATTAATAAAGCTTTTTAAGATTAAAAAAAAGGGGGAAGATTAATTAAATTATATCTTTGCCATAAAATCTGTATATTTCGCAATAGTTTAATATACATAAAACTAGTCAAAGCGAAAAACTTTTTGAAAAGCACTTATCACCAATAACATCACATGAAAAACTCTTTAGATTCTAAAAGAACTAGTTTATTTTTACTATCAAAAGAAAAATGATTATACGATGTCAGTTATAAGAATCGCAATTTGTTTATACTGTGTTAGTTTGCAAACGAGGTGATTCAATTAGTTTTATTTTTAAACATGTACTCTGAGTTGTACTCTGTGGATAATAAACGTCCCATCATAAAAATATGATGGACCTCTTTCATTTTGTAACGTTCAGATAACATAGACATTTTGCAGTACTTCCGAGTACTGGGCTCAGATCATGTTTTCCATATGTTATTGGGTTTTTGTTTTTTTTCTCGGAAAAGAAAAATTTTATCTAGTTTTTGAGGTTATGTCGAACCCTGACATTCTGGAGTTTTTTAGACTTCGAAAGCGGATTTAGCGACCCCGAAAACATATAATGAACATGGTCTGACCCCCGGACTCGAATATTATTTTGTATGATGTTATGTCAGAACTCGTGCTAGGCTTTTTTGGACCTCGGATTTGGATTCAGCGACTCTGAAAACATAAGGTAAACATGGTCTGACCTCCACACCCTAAAAAATATTTTTTTTGTGTGGCTGTGTAACTAATGAATTTGTAGGTGTAAGTAAGTTACCACAGCAACACCAATTAGAAGCTCCTCAGTTATTAATTCTCCTCAGTTCTTCATGACACAGCTGTAGATAATAGATTGCTCTTAATAATAGATCTTATAATAGATCCAATAGGTTGGATGTGTCATAGACGATTATTGTAAAGAAATTTGTTGCCGGTTTGACCATGCTAATTCCCGAGATAGTCCGAATGGAGATTCAGAGGCGTAAGCCCAATCAAAGTGTTCGTGCATATGTACTGCAGATTCTTTATAAAGTTTCGTTTTATTAACAGCTGTTGGGAATTGGCTATTGGGATCAGCTGAATAGAAAAATGTTAATTATATGTATATATGGCTAAAGGTGCAGCTAAACTTAAAATTGTTATCTGTTGTCGGTTATTACTCTTTCTGCATTACTCTTTCTAGAGCATGGCTCAATCTCGCTCTCTCTCAGAGGCGCTCCCGGATCATGTTGTCTTTATTGACCGGAGGCTTTTTGGGAAGATTAGCTGCACCCAAAGTACTTGTACATAGCGAAATGCCTTTAGCCTATCTGAACCTTAAGCTTCTCGCTCTCACTTTTGTATGATGCATGGGTTTTGGGGTCTCCCTTGTACTTGTCGTGAGCTGAGCCATTGAACGTAGGAGACATGCACGTCTCTCATCTCCTGACATACCTTTGAATGTCTCTCTGCATTACTGGCCAGAAATATATGGCGGCCACTTTGGCGATTGTCTTGTTTCTCAGCGCGATTTTCCACACGCTCTTTACATTTTCTATTGCTGTGGCGCTTAAAGTTTTTCCATTACTGGCTAGTGGGAAAATGCGTCTCCGACCACCTTACGCTTTCCCTTCAGGTAGCTGATGATGTATTCGTTTTGCTGCAACTTAAACACCAATCTCGCTATTCTCTCAAGCGGACTATCAATGTTCTTCAGCCATTTCAGCGCCATGTAAGCCGTGATTACGTCGAATGTATATCGCTCCATTTGGGGTCTCAACTGCCTAATCGCTCATAGTATGGAGAGGTTTTCCTTTTCAGTTGTCGAGTAGTTCTTTCCGCCCCTATCAAGGTTCGACTGGCGTAGGCGATCTCTCGTTGAACCTCCTTGGAGTCTTGCGTCAGGACCGCACCGACGCCCTAGTCGCTGGCGTCCGTTTGCGGCACGAATCTTTTTCCAAAATCTGGGCATGCCAGCACGGGATCTTTTGCTATCCGTGACTTCAGTGGCTCACATTGACAGCCTCCTGGTATCAGGCTGTTCATTCCGATGTCCTCCTTTTCCGTCCTTTTCTAATCGTTCAGTGGCTTCGTGATTCCTACGAAGCCTGGGACGAAACGCCGATACCATAAAGAAATCACGATAAACTGGCGTACTCCCGTTACGTTGGTACTGCTATAGATATGACGCTTTTCCGCATTTATCCTCAGGTTCGCCGCATTTACCCTCCTGAACGGGCCTGATATGGACTGCTGAAGGCCTTGGGCTGGTCAAGGGCCCTCTGGAACGTTGCCGAGGCTAAGTGCAACCCGAACGGCATCACCTTCAATTGGTATAGGCCTTTCTTTAGTACAGTTAGGGCGGTGTACTTTTTGCTTCCTTCCTCCAAAGTGATCTTCTAATTTCCGTCTTTTGCAGCCTTGGATATGTAGTGCAAGAAAACAAGTGTCTATAGTACGCTTTTATGATATTTCAATATTTAATTAATCAAAATTGTCAATCTTTAAAAAATGTTGTTCTTGTTCTTTTTGGCTTATAATGACACTGGTAACGATTAGAGGTGATATTTGGGTTCGATAACTGTTCAACTAAATATCGGTGACCTTAAGTACTGCTACCATCCACGGTCTCGTGGTGGCACTGATCTATTTAGTTGTAGCTGTAGTGTAGACGCTAACATTCTCTCCCCCATAAATGCCTGCAGGTGTTTATCCATTCTTCAAGTCTAACACTGCTATTTTTGTTGCTAGCCACACCATGGTCCACCACTGTAGCCGAATACACCTGCCCGTCCTCGACTGTGGCTACATCGATTATACGTCGTCTCTGCCGATTGCCAATGGTGGCCGCTTCGGGAACCACTTTGAGCGACGAGTAAATATGGCATTTCCAGAAAAGATCAGCTACCTCATTGGCCTGATCGCTAAAGGATTGAAGTTCCATCTAATCTCATCGTATTTGACGGTTAGGTTGTGGAAGTCTACATTCTTCAGCTCATCCCTGACAACTTTTTCAGTTGCTTTGAAATGGGTTCCATTATCCGAGTATATTTCTCTGGGTGTTCCTCGTCGGGCCATAAAGTTTGAGAGGCACATTACGCTTGAGCTTGTGTCAAGGCTATGCGGCGCATAGTATGCGCTATCTCTATATGTACGAGAGTATACAGACCAGATTTTTTGAAACTAAATTGGAGTCGTTTTCAAGCAGGAAACGTCTTTACCGTGCCACAGCGACCTTCATCATGTACGTGAAAATCTTAAAGGCGAAATGCCGAGGAGAAATCATCCTGAAAACGTTCTCCGATGAAATAGTAATCCAAGTGTTGGCTCCGAATTGGCAAACTGTGAAAATGCCTTTTCAGGCCAGCAACTATGCTCCCAGTAGAAACGCATCAGCCGAATTCAATGGAAGTTCATTTATTACTAGTTTCTATCTGCTCCTTCTCTTCTTTCATTCGAAACTGCGACGCAGCGAGTAACTAGAACGAGTACTTAACAGAGCGATAATATTTTTAGGCGGTACAATTCAAATATTTCTCATAAGCATGGGCGTAAGGAACACACGTACATATCTTGCAGCTCAGGCTCGTTGGGGTTATTTTATTTGCTCGTAGCTTGCTATGCTCCGTCTCATAGCTAAGTAGCCCAAGTTGCGAGTTCTACGTATTTCCCTCAATATTATGTTTATAAACAAGTAACGACTTAAAACCAAGAAAAGAACCTGCTGTACAAAGTAGCAAGTAACGACTTAAAACCAAGAAAAGAACCTGCTGTACAAAGTAGCGAAAAGAGATGCTTTAGGTTCTCTTAAAAAAAAACAAAAACATCCAAAGGACGGAGTGGGAGTGGGTGGCTATACTCTGGTGGCTAGAAGTTTCGAATGAGTTGTGTTTTATGAGTTAGGCGGACGCCAACGACGGCAGCTAACAGTTCCATTCGTGGTATCGAAAGCGGTTTCAAGGGAAAGACTTTACACTTGCCTATGACCAGATTTGTCGTGATGTCTGATCCTTTAATAACCCGGAGGTAGCAACCAGCCGCATATTCCCTCGCATGAACAAAAGTGTATAGTTCGACGCTGTCGGCTGTATTCAATAATGGCGAGTAATGTCGTGGAATATGCACGGACTTAGCCTGGGTGAATATATACAAACAATTGGGCCAACATATCTGTAAAGGTTCGGGTAGTTTGTCAACCCATCCGATTCCCGACCGCCATGTTTCGAATCCAGTCGAATCTTGATTGATTCGACACTTGGAAGATACCAAGTTGTGGTATGCATTTTCATTTTCCGACAGCTCGACGGCGTAACCTTTATTTTGTAGATTGTCAATTCGGTCCTGAATTTTCCCTCGTAGATCTGGCTCTCTTTCAATTTTAGCAATTGATTCGACTAAGCGCGTTTGTAACTTAGGAAATACTTAGGTCGACCTAAAGCCAAAGAAGGCAATTTTCGTATCGTTCGTCGATTTTAATGCAAGTTTCTTTCATGATTTTACAAGATTTTTCATCTTCGTTAGAGCGAAGTGTCCTTGGAATGACGGATTTTATGTTGAAGCTTTCCTTAACGGCCTTTTTATTTTTTGGGCCATTGACAGTGGTGGATGCGATGGGGTCTGTCCACCTTTCTTCTCTTATTTTCTGTGTAACGGCTAGCTTACAATTGTCCGTTCCAATTAGCACCATTGATAAAGCATCAATGTATAGTATAACACAATCGGTAATAATTGCGTGTATATAAGAGTATTTATGTAGATAAGTGTGTTTATAGGTTGACTCCCTCATGTTTTGCTATGATGGATACTCTTGATACCGTGAAGCAAACGGATTCGTTCTCCGTACGTATCATTAGATTCGTCCACAGCATGCAGATAGCATCCAGACTACCGAGGTATACGTTGGACGTTTAAAATTTTGAAGAATTTTTCGTCTATGATCTTTAAG